AATTTTTGGGACTTTAAAATTAATATCTACAATTAGCTGCATATTTAAGCTTGGTCAAGTGCATATCATAATATCAATCATACACATAATAGTTTTCAACGTGCTCACATTTTGTCTGAATAAAATAACTAAAAAAATATGTTGAAAGTAAATCTATNCCATGCTATTATTACTTAGTATTCATATGGCGAAGGCATAGTCTTCTTTTTTCTCTCAAATAAAAACCTCATTGGCGCCAAGCGTGAGGGAATGCTAGACGTTTGGTAATTTCTCCTCCGACCAGGATAAAAGATCCCATTGAAGCGGCTAATCCCATGCATATTGTATGGACATCTGGTCGCACAAATTGCATAGTATCATAAATAGCCACCCCAGGTATTACCCAGCCCCCAGGAGAGTTTATAAACAAATACAGATCTTTGGTCTCATCCTCGATACTGAGATATACCATAAGACCAATAAGTTGATTCGAAATCTCGCTATCAACCTCTTGGCCTAAAAAAAGTAATCTTTCTCGATAAAGTCGGTTGATTAGGGTAAAATTGTATCCCTTAGGAACCGTACATGCGCCTTTGGATGCATACGGTTCAAAAAAAGTGTGAATCAATGTATAGATTCATGTGACTTGGATCGACATACATTTGCACTGTGGCCAATCTTGTTGCATAATTGGCAACGAAGAACACCCATGGGGTTATTGTTTTGGGGTTGCCACTGGATGGATGAATTGGAGCGAGTATTCTGTCGCCATGGTTGGGAGTTGTTGTTGCAGGATTGGCGGCGATTGTTGCGATTGTTGGAAGTGTTGTNTCTTCGTGTAGTTAATGATTTTGTATAGAAGTTACTATCTATTTCTCATTTTATTATTGTTGCTTCACTAATTAAAGTTAGTTTTTGATTTCCGTTTGAAGATATAATTTTTAAATCATGAAATTAAGACGTATTTTAATTTTTTTTTTTGTATATATAGGTATATATGAAGGTGTCAAAAGTGTCTGGAAAGTTTGTAGATAAGGGACGCTACATTAGCACAGGAAGCAATATGCTTGTCTTTTTTAGTTTACGATTGTTCCCACATTTCAATTAGACTTTTTATATTTTAGGTATTTTACTTTATTTACCCAATGAGTTTGTACTTACATGTTTTCTTAGAATAATTTCATATGTATTAGTATCTGATTTTGTATGAATGTTTATATTACGTTTCTCTTTTATTTTTGTGAGCACTAAATATATATACAATTTGCCACAATTTTTTTTATCTTTAAATATTTATATATTTTAGGATATTTTTGTCACAAAATATCTTTTTTAATCTACAGAATGTAAATCGTACTGCTACATTTCATTCCCCCAAAATTGATAACATTTAGTGACAAAATAATTTGTCCGGAAATAGCCTTCATAATAATAATATAAACATATTTTAACTACAAATTAATTAATATTTGATGACAATTAAAATTATCGCTAATTAAGACAACATATAGTGACAAATTAGTCTTATCACAAATAGTATCATTTGTCGAGATACAAAAATAGTTTCAACTACGGAATTGCCGACTTCTCGGACAAACAAATTTGTCGCTAATTTATCTATTTAGAGACGAATTTTTTTCGTACGTAAAGCATAACCATTTAGTGACAAAATCACATTCCTTTAACTACAAATTATGCATAGCTTTAAAGACAATCATCATCGTCACTAATTAAAATTATAATTAGTGACAAATTGGATTCGTCAGTATTAAAGACCTTTTTAGCGACGATAGAATGTTTTTAACTACAAAATCTTTACACTTTTTATGACAAACAAGTTCGTCATAAATATTACATATTTGGAGACAAAAAAAGATTTTGCAGTTAATATAACTTTATTTAGTGACGAAACACAAAGTTGTCTTTGCATACAATTAGTGACGGTATTTTAGGGACAAAAGTTTGACAAAAAGAAATTCGTCACAAAAGACCTTTTGTGACGAAATATGAATTTTAGTTGACAAAATAATTTATCACCGATAATTAATATTGAACCGCACTAGAGGGAGTGATTTGTGTGGTGACCAATTTTTTGCTTACGTTATTTATGGAAGGACCTGGTTCTTCTATGTGTTCCTTAACCTACTATTGAAGAAATAATAAATGCAGAAAGTAAAGAACACAAGTATTTTACGTGAAAAACACCTGGCTCAAAAGGTGAAAAAACCACGACCTACTTTCCAGTAGGGATTTCCCAAACTCTCCACTAAAATCATTGAGACAAAAACTGCATTTACAAAAACTCTTTTGTAAACCTAGGATTAACTCTAATCCCGTTGTAGCACACAGCCTCAACTGTTGCGACAACTTCAAGTTAACTCTAACTTGAAAACTCTGAGTACCTAATACACTTGCTTCTAGATAAAGCCGAAAGGTACAATATGAAAATACCTACTACAATTGAACTAGAATAAAAGATAGACACTTGGAACTGGTTCTTCGATCTGGTTCAAGTAGCTTCAGGTTTGCACGCTTGAATCACACACGAATTGCTTGCAAAATTGCCTTGATGTTTTGCTCTCAATTCACGTTTAACTTCTGCTTATGTGCGTTGCATGTAAAAGAGAACAACACTAATATTTATAGAGTTAGTAAATAGAGATTGACTAGAATTCTAATGCTACTCTTCCTTGGTGGAAGAGTTCTAGTTGATCTCAACCTCTAACTCCTTCCTTTTCTTAAACCGTGTTCTCTTTGAGTAAGGAGTCCTCCTCCTTATCCAATATGCAACCTTTTCGATCAGGATCAGGAGATATTACTTCTTTCAAGTTAAGTCTATCTCCTTCACGTGCATCTCACATGCTCGAGTCTATTCATATCTACGCTCCACTAAGATGGACATGGTCCATGTCTCGGTTCCTTTATCAGTCTTCAAAACTAACATTTACTTGGCCAACAATGTTACATTATATTTCGGGAAAGTAAAAACTTAAAATCTACCTAATGAACGAGAAAATAATCAAAGAAAGAGAACAGATCATGGTTCAACCTTACCATAAAGTCAAGTGTGACTTTCTTACAACCATTTTATAGGATGGTGCTTTATCTTTGAAGTTCATCACACTCCATCTTCTCTTCTTTGGACCATCTTCTTGATCACTTCCACTCTCAGCTTCCTTCTCCTCTTCGGTACCTGTCTTTCTATTAATGATATTCAGTATTTACTAACACATTCTCATGCATCTATTGAACAATCAGTTAACAGTGCCTCAATATCTAACCAGCTAGTTGTTTTGGTATATTAGGACACATTGATCAATGTACAACGATAAATACTCTACTTGTTTTTTAAGGCAGATTAAGGGATCTCACTCTTATAAGTTATGTTCACGTTGATATACAAGTATCTAACTAAACTAAAAGATATAAACTTTTAAATTTAATTAATACTGAGCAAACTTAACAGTATAACAACAATTACATCTATTCTCACTAATTAGTTATTATACGAATCATTTATTTTCATTATGGTCTGTTTAATTAAACTAAGTCTGCATCGACTCCCATGCAGATACAGATAAGAAAATAATTTCAATACCCCAAATTTAATAAAGAGATCATGATATAACCTGACTCCTCCTCACGCTTTCTGGAGTATTTTGCATGATATTGTTGGGAATAAATCCCCCCACAGTAATAATATTCACAGTAATAAAAGCGGAATAATAATGTAGCACTGAGATACAGTAATCAACAAGAATAAAAGAGTGACAATGACACCAAGATTTTTACGTGGAAAACCCTTCTGAATAAGGGGAAAAATCACGACCCCGAGAGGAGCAACTGATATCACTATAGCAAGGAATTTTACACTTTGTAGGCCCGAGTAGAATACTCCAAAGATCACTACAACACTCAAAAGAGATAACCCTCTTTTGATATTTCTACCTCACCACAATATCTCTCACACTCTCTATTTTTCTCACAGACTATTTTCTTATACCCTGTCTGTGATGCCTCACTCTTTCTTTCTCTCTTTGTTGATGTGTTTAAAAGAAGTGAAAGATCTCTCCTTTTATAGGAGAAAATACGTAGCCTCCAAAAATGCTACAGGAGGAGCTTCAATTTTCCTCCATTCATTTCCAAACTCGGGGCCAAAGTAATCATAGGCACATGCCTATTACCAATGGGATGGACCCCACAAATTGGATGTATCTTTTCCATCTTTGGACTCACTGATGCTAAGCTAGAAACCTGTATTTTAGTCATAGTATTACACTCTAGTTATTGTATTTTATGTGTGTTTGAGCTTAAATGATAGTGAATTACAATTAGTACGTGTTTTATGCCTTGCAGGAAGTGATTTCGAGTTCAAAAGTTAATTTGGAGCTCAATCGATCAATTTGAAGCTTTGAAGTCTTTGTAAAAGCCCAATAAATTAAGCCGGGATCGTGTTCGGAGGTCGTGTACCAAGTTTGGATGTCAAAAGAGGATGAAAAAACTTCACTCTGAGAAATTAATACTGTCGCGCCGCATGGGGCACCGTAGGGCGCGACACACACTACTAGAAAATTGATCTACGGCAACAGTGGCAAAACCGTTACAATAGATACGAAAACCGTTACCATAGACCTATTGCAACGGTTTAGGGACCGTCACATCTGATCGCGTACCAATAGCTCTATCGCAACGGTTTTGTGCAACGGTTGCATAGTTGTTGCAATAGGTCCATGTATGGTAACGGTTTGGAACCCTTGCAATAGGTCTATCTATTGTAACGGTTAATTAGTCAAATGGGACGGTTCGAAATCGTCTCAATATCATTTTAGGGAACGGTATTTTCTGCTATAACAACGGTTTAGATGATATATTGCGACGGTTATTAGGAGTTTACGTGACAGTTACTAGAGGCTATTGCAACAGTTATTAGGAGCTACTGCAACAGTTTATTGAGACTATTGCAACAGTTATTAGGAGCTACTGCAACGGTTCATGAAGGCTTGCAAACAATTTGTTAAAGCTATTGCAACAATTTATTTAGACTTTCCATAAAAACAAACTTTATACTATTGTCTAAAAATTCAAAAGCATACATAAGCTCTCAAAGTATTGAAAATCCAAAATAAAATATTCCTAAAATATCTTGATACATTCAAAATAATTCCATAACTCTAAGCAATATTTTTGCCGCTTTCATCCACTCTTTGCTCATCCGATCTACCTATAAAAGATGAAAATAAATGATTTAGTAAATTTTTAAATGAATTTAACATACATTATACAATCTAAGTAGTACCTTGAAACTTCAAGTGCAATCCAGCTCAAAGAAGTCAATAAAGCTTCGCAAAATTCAAATTAAAAGCAGTCCTAGGAATGAACTAAAGGATCTACATATGGCCAGTTAGAAGAGAGATCAGTGATTGCAAATCCCTCCTTAAATATGTCAGCACTTATTGCGAAAAATAACTCAAATCAAATTTACCAACCCAGAGATGAACTAAAGGCCCTCCGTACGGCCAGTTAAAGAAAGATTACTGATTGCAATCAAAATGGTGTTGCAATGTTTAACAATGCAATTCAGATCAAGGATGTGAATAAAACTTCCCAACTGCAAATTCAAAGCAGTCCCAGAGATGAACTAAGTGCTGGAATAAGACAATATTTAAAAAATTATTAACCTAACAACAAAATAATAGTTTCGTCAACACCAATATAACAACTCAACTAATGGAAATAACCTTGCATTTCAGATGGTTATTTCCATACATCCATGTAGTCCAATCAACACCAATATAACAACTCAAGAAAGAGAGTTAAAAAAAGGTCATGATACCTCAAGAGCTTTTCCTCTCTGTATTATTTTCGAAAATAAATTGCCTCTCGGGGAATACTAGCCTTCACCACCACCTATGTCTACATCTGAAGATCCATCTTCGTAGTAGCATTCATTAGTCATTTTAATCTCTTTTTCATCACTTTCTTCTTCTCCCGTATCCTCTTCATCAACCACACTGGTAATATAAGTTTTGGCATGCCAAGAAATGCGATATACGTGTTCAGATTAATGCATAGTAGTGAAAAAAGGAAGTAATTTACTGGTGCTATTTTCAGCGAACTATAAGTGGGTGGAATCTCCCATTTACTGAAATCTCGTTTTTGAGTTTTGGTCTCATGAATGACTAGATAGAATGATCAATACAATAAGCTTAAAATACAAATTATCATGCGTATATGCACTCAACCTTTCTTCAATTGCAGCATTATTTGTATAGGACACTCAAAGGAATTCATTGAGAACTAATTTCAAACACTTGTGAGCCTAAAAATTATAATACTGCTTCAACAAATATGGGGCATATTTTCCCCCAAATATTTTGAAACTTCAATTCAATACGCTACAAATACTTCACTCCTACATAGTGCCAATAATTAAATCTACAGTTATACCCATTTACTTCAAAACGTCTCTTGAAATAGCACAAGGGGTAATATGTAATAACAAAGTAGACATAATACAGTGAAATCCAAAAGCTCAAGAGTGAAAAATCAGTCAAGCATACAAGCTCGCAAATACCATAAACAGAATCAGATGACACACTTTGAAAATTCCAATTCTTTTTTCTACCCACACAGTTAGGGGTGCCTAATTGGATATTAACCAAATAATTTATTCACCAATTTAGAGATAAATTACAAAATAAAATCTTAATAAAACAAGATTGGTAACTTACCCAAGCAGAGAGAACATTGATGGTCTCACTTCAGCTGGTGGCAGCTACATGGATCTCAGAGGAAAGGGACTCTTGCACCATAAAGCACGCCCTTCAAGAAGGGAAACCTGAAAGAACCAGACCTTGACTCTTCATCGCTACCACAATATTACTTTCCCTAGGCTCTGTGAGGTTGAAGAGATGTGCTAGAGCCTTGACAGAGTGCCTTGCAGGAGTGACTCGCCGGAGGGGTTAGGGTTTCAAAGGGTCGAAGCTACGAGAAGGTGTAGGGATATTTTGATATATGTTGTAAGGTTAAGAGAACAAGTTTGATCACTCGGGAGCACGGATTTGATCAATTCTTCCATTCCTTTTCCAATATCATTGATTCTATGTTTGAAAACATGATTTTTGATGATTGTATGAACATGAGTGGCTAAGAACCCTATTGTTCTGGGGTCATGGGTGCTACAAGAATGTGATATTGTTCTGGGGTCATGGGTGCTACAAGAATGTGATGTTTGAAGTTTAATTTGATGAATTTGAGTTTATTATATTGGGTTGTTTATTTAATTCTGTTTTTAATTATTTTGCTGAGTAGCTAACAGTGAAATACTATCTACGAATCTAGAGTTGAACTCGAAAGTGAAAATTCTAGATTCCATATAGAATTAAATAGAGCAAGTTATTGAACCTGGGCATCGGGGAACGGATTTGCAATTAGGATAGATATATACCTAATTGCCTTGCTTGGTTGAAATACAGAAATTGTAAATGCATTCTTATAGTCTTAATTCCATAGACATATAGGCATTAAGTTAGCTTGAATAGGCGAGTAAGAACTCGACGGATTTTTATGAGTAATACAACTCTGTCAACCAACAATCGAGATAGATCAATTAGTCATTTTAAGCCAAGAACGCAACGTGATTGTTAGCTAACCTTGTATTGGAGAAAATTATATTTATGTATATGGTGACGTGTCATGACGTATAGATTGGTCAAACAGTCAAAGAAATAAGGTTGGTTAACAGATACGAGCAACAACAGACACGAGCAACAACAGATACGAGCAAGTTAAATGAAGAAGGCACGAGCAGTCATACAAATAATTCAACGCTCGTACCTATTCAAGACATTCAAGGGTCAAAGATCGAGAAGAAACAAAGGAATGAATCTGACAGCAAAAAATAGCCCAGATATAGCATTTAATGAGTATAAAAACTAGAAACGTTAGAGAATATGTATTTAATGTATATGATTGCATAACGTAACATTTAAGGTCATTAATTACCCATAATTGTCTTATTATGACAAAGGGAAAATCTGTATTCCCAAAACCCTTTTGCTTCTGGCTGCTAGGGTAAAAACGCCGTTGCGAAAAAGTCTAGGGGAATAGAGATGAATTAGATGGGGAAAAGTAAATTCGGCATCTGCCAAGTTAGTGAGGTGCCTTAAGCAGGCGACAGCCCTCCAAATAATTGGGCCAATTTGACCCAAGCTGACATTAAAAAAGCGACAAAAATCCAGAATAATTGGATCAGTGGCTGGTTTAAACCCTAAAGTAAAGAGATACGTATAAACAAAAGAAAATCCAATAATGTAAGAGGTGATTCTCTGATTTGGATTAGGAATGATGATAGGGAAATCATCACTCCAATGACAATCTCTACGAACTATGGGGATTAAAGGGTCAGTAATTTGAGAAGGATAAGTATCAACTCGATTTAAAGAGGCGACTTGAGTTCTGAGAGATTCCCTGTCATGGTAAAAAGATAAGTCCGTTAGAACTATTTTTTCCACTAAAGGTTCGCGTAAAGGTTCAGAGGATTCTTTGTTTCTGGAAGAAAACCTTTGAGAATGGGAACCTCCAGTTCTAGAAGAAGGGCCAGAACTAGAAGAAGGTGTGAGTGAACTACCACCACGGCAGATCCCAAACTACGGAGTCTACCACCACCACCTCTTCTATGCCTAACGGGAGCATTGGGAAAGCTGTCTAAAATAGGAGTTCTTCTAGGGTTAGGGTTCGGAGAAGCCATGACAAAGGAGATTGAAGTGAAGAAGAAGTGAATAAAAGTTTTGAAAAATTAAAGTGTTCAATACGCTTTAAATGGTAGAAGACAAAGATGGAAGTTATATTTATACCGATGAATGACCTCAGAAGTAAAGAGTATAGTGATGGAAAGTCCATAATAATGATAACTGACACTTCGTGGACAGGGAAGCCGAAAAGAAAGCCTAAGAAAGTGCTATACAATTATATGACCAATAAGAAGATGATACGTGTTTAGTGCATTAAATGAAAGTAATAAGTGAAGCGTCAAACTCTGTCAGAGCATTAATGGTGACAAAAATTCTCCTTTAAATGAATTCCACTTCCCAAATATTCAAACTGATGAATAAATGGAAAGTGGGAGGACTATCTGTATTGGGGAAAATTATATTTATGTATATGGTGACGTGTCATGACGTATATATTGGTCAAACAGTCAAAGAAATAAGGTTGGTTAACAGATACGAGCAACAACAGACACGAGCAACAACAGATACGAGCAAGTTAAATGAAGAAGGCATGAGCAGTCATACAAATAATTCAACGCTCGTACCTATTCAAGACATTCAAGGGTCAAAGATCGAGAAGAGACCAAGGAATGAATCTGACAGCAAAAAAAAGCCCAGATACAACATTTAATGAGTATTAAAAACTAGAAACGTTAGAGAATATGTATTTAATGTATATGATTGCATAACGTAACATTTAAGATCGTTAATTACCCATAATTGTCTTATTATGACAAAGGAAAAATCTGTATTCCCAAAACAGCTATAAAAGGGAAAGTCACAAACAACTGTGGACACACGAAAAAAATTACTGGAATATACTTTGTTTTATTTGCTTTCTGATTATATTATTCAAAATCTCTTTCTTATATACTTTTCCGATTATCAGTAACCCGAGTTCTTCTAAATTCAAGCTTTGACCTAAAATCTAATTTTTTGGTTAAACAAACCTGTGACCCTGGAATATTCTCTCCTACTGATTGTTATCCAACATTGCTTAAGTATTGCGGTTGATTTCTAGTTATTTCATTGCTTGATAGTTTTAGGTAGTAAATTAGTCACTTATATATTTTGTGAGAAATCTCTTGAATCAATAAATTATTTGAGTTTGAATTAGTCAAAAGTTAATCATAAGTTTTCGTGGGAACGATACTCTACTCACTACTCTATTACTTGATGACCACGTATACTTGCGTGAGTATTTTTGGTCGCAACAAGTTTTTGACGCCGTTGCCGGGCATCACCGGATGCGTCAATGCTTTCTTCCTCGTAATCTGATATTTCTACTGTATCTACTTTAACTTTCTTTGTTTTTCTTGAAGGTCTTATCCTCTTATGAGCTACTGCTGAGTTGCTCATGAATAGAAAGTTGCCTCTCACGAAGATTTTCACAACAATTCTAGGTGTAGGGCAGGACATGGAACGTATATTTTTCAATGAGAAAAAAAGAGCAAAATGTCTCCCACCTCCGGTTTGTAATGCACTACAAACTTAATTTGGCCATTTTCCGTATTTGGACTTTTTCCTCACTATCTTTGCTTTCCATAACTTCCCATCTACATCCATTTCAGTAAGCAGGTCTTGGCCAAAATCTTCTTGTTTGATGAAAGCATACGGTATTAGTATCTAACAAATCAGTTGGAAGAGAATTTTTAGACTTACGAAAGAATAAAAAGAAAAGACAAAGAATAAAGAGAAATTGAAAATTACCATTTTATTCATATATGATATAGCTTCTCTACTTAAAATCATGCAAAATGCTGGAGGCTTGTCTGGATCCATTAGCATCTTTTCTGGTTTTGCAAGAGGAAAAAGTAGAAATCAAAGAGGAAAATCAGCTGCTCCGTTGTTTTAACAGCAATATTGTATTTACTTTTCTTGTTCTACTTGATTTGCACACTTATATACAAGACACTCAAGGTCGTGTGGTTGGGAACAAGTTATTTGGAGATTATAATAACATAATAATTGTCACGATCCAAAAATCCACTAGTCGTAATGATACCTAACCCAACCCGCTAGGTAAGTCAACTAATAACTATCCAATTTCAATAATATTTAACAGGACAATTAATCAAAGAAAATCATCTGAATCTTATACATTTCCCCAAGGACTGGTAATACAAATCATGAGCTTCTAAGAATAGAGTTTACAAAGCTGATATGAAGTAAATACATTTTCAGTTTGAAAAGTACATAAACAGAGTTTTATAAATCTAAGACTACGATGAACAAGAGGCAGCTACAATAGGAACGCAGGTACATCTTCAAATCCAGCTCCCATCGAACACAACAACCTCAGCAGCCAACATCTACACACACTGTGCAGAAGTGTAGTATCGGTACAACCGACCCCATGTACTCAGTAAGTAACAAACCTAACCTTAGGTTGAAAGCAGTGACGAGCTGAAACATAGGTCGGGTCCAACACCAATAACCAATAGCAGTTTATAACAACGTAGAGAATATAAATAAGGAAGTAACTCAGAGATAAAAACGCTAAGCTTTTTCACAGTTTTCCGAAAATAGTTCCGCTTTTCAAGAATATCAATGAAAACTCAAATCCTTTACCGAAATCGTCGTAAAGTATGAGATAGTTTGAAAACTGTAAATTTTTCCAAAAAACCTTTCCACAATAAATTAGATGGTTCATTTTCTTTCCAGATAGCAAGTGTGAAATACCTCTCTATGTCCACATATCAATGTGTGTAAAAAGTCATGAATGACATGATACCGTACAACATGAGGTAAAATGCATCTCTATGCCTGTATATCATGTGTGCATGCCAATGCCATGTATCTCAGAGATGAATCATGTATTCATACTCTCAGAGTACTCAATCTCACCGTCTCACACTTTCCACTCATCATGCTCGACCACTCGGTACTGTTTATGGCCCATACGGCCTAGGGAAGATCCATCTCGGAATATATACATCACTGACCATCGGTTACTCAGTACCAAGGAAGGCAAATCTGGCCCCATGGAGAAGATCCATCTCCAGGTATATAAATGCTTCGAACAAGATCCATGTCCAGGGAAGATCATCCCTCAATATAATCAACCACACTCACTGGGGGTGTGTACAGACTCCGGAGGGGCTTTTATAGCCCAAGCGCTATCATAAGCCAGATCCAGGCATAAATCAATATAACATGTTGCGGCGTGCAACCCGATCCTATAACTGTCACTCATAATCAGGCTCTCAACCTCACTCAGTCATCAATCTCTCCAGTCTCACTCATGGGCTCACAATGTCATGAAACTAGCCCGACAACAATGATATGATGTATCAATAAACAACAAATGAGACTGAGGTATGATATGAATGCATGAATATGACTGAGTACGAAATATCAATGAAGTCAATGAGATGACAGTAAGAAACGACCACTATGGGTCCTAACAATATCAAAATAAAGCCTAAACATGATATCTAGCATGATTGATAGCTC